CACACACACACACACACACACACACACACACACGTACATACTCACATACACATAATTGAGTGCGTGCGCTTACTCTGAACTCCACTGTTCAATTTATTGTTCCGAAAACTTTATAATTTTAAGTGGGTTTTTTTTTTTCAAAATTCCTATCACAAACAAAGTAAAGATGTTTCCTACAAAATTTTTAGCAAAAAACTCTACTCATTTCGAAATATTTTGTTACGATGTAAGCACAATCGGAAAATGTCCATGCCTGCCACCTACGATATGAGTGCTTACTCTCATGTCAACCACCCACACACTCCTTTTTTATTTCAGCGTCTCTATGACTATTTCATGACAACTTTTTGTAGCAATGAGTTCATTCAATCAGTTGAACCTCAAGTTATTTTTTACTTTGGTGCCCCACTACACCCTCATAACATGCCTGCACCCCGAGCGTTGGACTTACTATTTTATTTAACATTTCTGTGTCTGGTCTTATCCCTATCACCGCAAGACATCACCTCATGACTGCACCAATGGATATGTCGTTTACTTTTTGCTATATCTAGCTCTAGCTCGAATTTTCGAATTTGGGTAATTTGGTCACATCTTTCAAAACTATTTAATAATCTTTTCCTTAATTACGAAATCGTTGCGGGTAATGCTATTGCCCCATGGAATTTCAGTTTCAGTTTCCCAATCAGTGTGCATCGCCCGCTAGAGATCAGCATCAGACTCTAGCAATCAGCTTACGAAATCTCTTCCGTCTGGCCTTGTCCCCGCTGTAGAGGTCCGGGAAGCAGTAACTCCACATGTCTCGTGCCTCCCCGGCGTCTGCGCACATGTCGTAATCGGAGGCCCCGACACACGGCGTCGCTTGAGTTCTGACAGCGGCAGTGGTGCCCAGCAGACCCATGAGACGCTTTTGAATACCTTCAAGGTCAAGACCAGCAAAAGACTTGGGTGCTGCTCCTGGGTCGCCAGAGAGTAGCGACGCTAGCTTCTGTTGGAGAAGAACAGGGATGTGTCTCTGAGGCAGTGTGCGTTGGAAAATGTCTTTGAGACTAGTGGGTGGACCTCCTTCTAGAGTACGGGGTTTGAGACGGAAACGCTTAGTACGGTTAGCAGCCAACGATAATGAACTTGACGAGGGTGAGGTAGAGGAGGAGGATACAGTACTCTCAGAGTCGCTCTCGCTACTGCTGCTACTGCTGCTACTGCTGCTACTGCTACTACTGCTACTAGTGCTGTTGCTATTGCTGCCACTGTCACTCCCCGAACCACTGCTCGAGGGCGATTGCTTTTTCCTTTGTGCTCCCGGCTTCTTCTTTTTGACCCAGAACGGTGAGCTGTTGTGACATTTGAGCGCTGCTGAGTTCGCCATACGTTTTTTGGTGACGTTGGTACTTGCTGCTGATTTACGGCGTCTGCGCATGGGGAAGGGCGGGGGCAGAACTGGGAGGATAGGGAGAGTTGGCCTGTCTGTGTGCAGGGATTGGCCGGGGGCTGGGTAGTGGAGACCAGAGGAGCTCGCTTCAAGGGCCTGAGAGTCCATTACGTTACTCCAACCAGAAAAATCTGATTTCGTAAACTGCAATCTTCTCTGGTGATGGACACCCCATTTGGTGTGGAAAATGTTCTTCTCTTTACTTTGGTCTTCTAAGCTTGGGTCAATACCTTGTGCTCTTGGCTTATTTTTAGACTTCTTTTTGGTGGCGCAACTCATTCCTTTGCGGGTTGGCGCAGAGGTTGAAGGTCGCAATGGTGTGCGTTGTCTGATGGCCGGAAGCCTACTGGATAAATGGCTGAAAAAATGACCAGTTATCCACTGTGGTAGAGGTTTCTCGAGGGATGCGTTATTCTCTTTAGAAAGCGGCAGTAGTCTGTGTCTCTTACCAGGACGTGTCACTCTCGGTACAGCGAGGCCGTTTTTGCTGACAGTCCACCCTCGACCCGCTGTGTCCCCTTGGCTGCTGTTTGAGCATTGGTTATCACTGCTATGATTTCCCATGTGAACTTTGGAGTGGACAGTCAGTTGTTGGGGTGGTGCTTCCGAGAAAGTCATGTGGGCGCCACAACGTATGCATGCTGTTGAAAGTGTAAACTGCGTCTTCTTATGGGGCACGTTGAGATCTTGCTCGCCAAGCCAAAGTGATGGGTGTTTTGAGGAGGACCCACCAACTGCCATCAGCTTGTTCGCCTGAACATGGTTATCGAATGTCATAGGTGCGTTGGCAAAGTGGCTTGTCTGGTGCAGAGACAAAAGCGAACGCTGTTTTACGGGCTGGGGACTGTGCGTGCTAGACCCATGCTTCTGTGAAGACAGCTGTTGTTGTTGTTGCTTCGTCTGCTGCTGGTGTAACAGCTGTTGCTGCTGCCGGGGCTGTTGTTGTTGTTGTTGTTGTTGTTGTTGTTGTTGTTGTTGTTGTTGTTGCTGTTGTTGTTGCTGCTGTTGACGCTCAAAGGGGGACGACGATAGTGGTTCTAGTTTTCTTCTATATGATGGTATCAAAGAAGGAAAGGTAGGGGCATGACATAGGGCTGCACCTTGAGTGTAGGGCTCAAGGAATAAATCCTTTGGGTCCCAACTCAAAAGAAGCTCAAGGAAGTAACTGAGTGATCGGCCCTTTCCTGCGTCTCTGATATGCAGTAGCGATTGGATAGCTTTCTCACGTGACAAACAGGCTTCGCCCACTAGGAGAAGTCTTTGGCTTCTCAAAGCAAAGGCGAGGCTCCGAGGTTCGTATTCAACAAGCCTGGCAATGTTGATTAGCGGGGCGGCTGGAGGAAGTCCTCTGACTTGTGATTCGGTGTTGCCCGAGTCTTCTAGAGAGTAGAGGCCAGGACTAATGCAGTTTACTGTGAATATTCTGAGGGAGACGGTGTTCATATGTCACCACGTTAGTTATGTACACGTGAGCATGTGTGTGTGTATGAGTGTGTGTGTGTGTGTGTGTGTGTGTGTGTGTGTGTGTGTGTGTGTGTGTGTAATATACATACATTCATACGAACATAGAGAGAGAGGGAGAGAGAGAGAGACTGAGAGAGAGAGAGAGAGAGAGAGAGAGAGAGAGAACTGTAAAATGTTAATAATGTGTCTTAAATGAAAACTGTATCCTTTATCGACACAAGACTCTATCTATAGTGCGGTCAATATTTTTAACGGGTGAATCAATGTCACCCATACTTTGCACAGCAACTTGTATGAATTTGTATTAACTAGACTTTAAAACACTTTTCTTCAAAAAGATATTTTAAACACTTCAGATATTAGTCCGCTTCCTAAATTATCTAGATTGTGTCGATGAGAACGTAAAAAACAAATATGTTTATAAATTTATGCCACAGGTATGTTCGTTTGAAATACACAATTAAACCTTATAATCATGAATTCTTTCTGTGGGTGGTTGGCGGATGCTCGGGTGCAGTTTGCTCTTTCTTTCTACTCAAACATCTTTATCTTTCCTCCATCTTTTTCGTGTTCGTTACACTCTTGTAACACCTCTAATCGTCTGTACTTATATGACCTAATTGTGAACCAAGTGCCGTGCCACGCTCACTAAAACACAATAAGGGAGCTTGGCTGGCTGTCGTATTTAAATATTAATTCTCTTTACGTGTTATCAAAACACAGTCTATTGTAGATCATGGCAAATTACTGAGGACAAACACGCACAAGGAAACACTCTCTCTCTCTCTCTCTCTCTCTCTCTCTCT